TCGAGGAATAAGGGTTAGAAGTTTGGAGAGGAAAAACATTTAGAAAGATCCTCTTTTTGAAATGAAGGAACATTTTACTGATTAGGAAAGAACTTCTCTACGTTTGATATACATTTTAGGGGCTGATGGTTGGTTGGAATGTTCTCGTCAAAGTAACATTTTCCCAACAAAAAGGTGAACAACTTTTTACAACCAAAAAACCTTAAAAATCAACAATAAAATAAAATAACACAAAATCGGATATGTGCTAGAAAAAGCCTTTAGAAGAAGAGTAGAAGGTGACGTATGAGTTAGAGGTGATAAAAATCTAAGGATTTATATTTATAAGTATCAGCATGTTTAGTTTTAAAAAAATAAAGAAGAGAAGATGAAAGACTATTTTAATTAATCAAATTAATTAGTTGAGCTAATATCTTAATTTGATAAAATGAAATATTTTTTCCTCATCGCTTCCCCTTTCTTTTCTTCTTCTGTCGAGTCAAACAACACGATTATAACTTGGAATATAATTCGTATACTTTTCAATTCAATACATCTAGTGATGAGTCATTAAATTTTATAGTTGAAATTTTTTCTGTTTTAAATTCAAATTTAAAAATAATAATTTTCTAATAAATATATCGTAGAATATATTAAACAAAAAAAATATACTAATTATTATCCTTGTAACTTAACCAAAGCTGCACCAAAAGCTCTTTCAGTTGTATAAGATAATCCTCATCTTGTTTTCTAGGGCATGACAAAGTTATATTTGTTTACCACAATGGGACAACTACAATGTTTTCTGTTCAACAGACAATAGTTAATACAATATGTTATGATACAAACAAACTATAGAGTACAGCCAAAGCATCTCAAACAAAGGAGGAGAGCTAGTTGTCTGAATCTAATTCATTTTAGCTGTCTCTGTTGGATGCAATCTCGGAAATGATTTTAAGCAATTTTTTTTCCCTTTCCTTTTCTAAAAATAAAAAAGTGCAGAAGATAAGAGGAACAATTGTCAGATCTGCCTCACAAATATAAACATAAAATAATCGTGCGAAATTGTGAAAAGATTCCCAGAGAAAAATGTCATAAAAAGTGAATGATGTAATAATTTCACCAACCCAGTTTGATGGCATAATAAAATTCTAAAGTTGGTTGTTATGTAGTCATAAGTACTGTATGTCTGTAACATTATTCAACTATTCAAGGTATCACTAGAACGGATGGACCAGAAACAAAGCCAGTCAAAACCGACGTGCATTGTAGGCTGTTTGATTTTACATATTCTCGAGAGTAGTTGATAGTTGTAATTATTAATTGATAGTTTATAAAATAATTGATATTTATTATTTAAATATAAATAAAAATCAATTTATAAATTGATATTTTTAAACATTTAAATTAATTATAAGTTAATAAACTCAATCAAATCAAACAAATTTATAATATATTTGTGTGACTTTAACAAATTTACAATATACTTGTATAGCTACAACCATGACCAGTCAAAACTAGGGAATTCCCCAGTCCAAGCATCCTTCAATCAAATCCATTTAATGTCATAATCATCATGCAAAGTCTAAATCGATTCTGACGTTGTAATGACTAGAATAGGATGAATAATTAATAACGCTTATGAAAAGTCTAAAACAATTCGCACGTTGTAAAATGACTAGAATACAATGAATAATACTTAAAAAAGTTAAGAGTCCACTAAAATATGTGTAAGTTTTACATAAATTTTTAGCAATTGATATATTAAATATGTTATTTAAACAGTAATATCATCATCAAGCAGATGAACACAGGAGAAGGATTCATGATTAGGCAAACAACCAAATTAAACTACCTTATGTAAAAGTTTCATGAAATGGAAAGTTTAGCATATTGAAGGATGGTATGATTACCAGAAATGACAAAGACAAACAATCTTGTAACTTGTAAAATGTTTTTTTTTTTTTGACCAATAATTAAGAATTAGGAGTTAAAAATTAATATCTTACTCTTTAATAAAATTTAATGACTAATCAAAATATATTTTATCAATAATTTTTTTAGGCTACAGTAACATTATTGGACCACAAGAGGAAATGACTCGTAAGATGCTAATGCAACGACAAACAGCCAAAAGCGCCCAATTGTTGCATCATTGCTTAGATCCTTGTGCCCACTGTTTTCCGCTGGCTGTTTGAAAGCAATTCATTTAGTCCACCCCTAGTTTTGTTTAATGAAGGAAACCAGAAACCCCACTAGAGGGAGCATTATTGGAGGAGTAATCCAATCAGGGAAAGTTTACCTTAGAAAAATGAAAGAAACTATGCTTAATGCGCAAGATAGAATGATTGACTAAATATAGGAGAGAGGAGAAAGTTCGCACTAGATCACATGGTGCTGGTGAACCGAACTTGGACTTGGTTAATCATAGCCTCTCTTTTCAATTCATTGCAAGAATTCTTACTTGGAATGATGTTTTTTTTTTTTAACTTACAACTTCTCGATATTCTCGTGGCTATTGGGGAAAAAGTTGGCATGAAAGCATTGCTGTCGAAATCTAAATTTAAATTTTAAAATCTTATTATTTTACGATTTCAGCAAGATATTTTGTGTAAAATTTATACTAAAATTTGAAATTCATAAAATCTGAGAATTTCACGATAAAATCTGAGGATTTCATGATAAAATCTAGATTTTATCGTGAAATCAAGTAAAATCAGATAAAATCGAGATTTTACCTTTTGTTTGGCAACTGAATTTTTAGCCTATTTCCTTTTGGGCTTCTCATCTTGAATTAGTGAGTTTTTACTAGATAACCCATAAATTAAACTCATTTTTCATTTTAAAAACCCACAACCCACACAACCCAACCACAAATCAACATTTTAATTGAGAATTTGGGATAAATTTGATTTAACCATCTAAAATTTTAAATTTAAGTCATCTTCTTCGTTTAATTTATTTGTATTGTTGGATATTTAGATTTTAATTAGTTAATTTCAAGTTTCTAACTCTAAATCTGATTTATTGTTATTTAATTTTGATTTTATATAATTTATTATATATTATATATTAAATTTTATAAAATCTCGATTTTACCGATTCGATTTTACAATTTTGATTTCACCTAACCAAAACGATTTTAGTTAAAATCTCAATTTTGATAACCTTGCATGAAAGAGGTACAAGCCTCTTCTCTAAATCTATAAATAGTCCTCTCATGACACCAGTCTTTCACACTAAAGAGAAACAAGTCTGGAAATGGAGATTCCTGTAATCAATTTCAATGATCTCCACGGCGAGGGAAGGGAGAAAACCATGGCACTTCTGCACCAAGCTTGTGAGCAATGGGGTTTCTATATGGTAAAGAAAGCCAAAAACTTTCCCATCGAACTATTTGTTTGATGTATGCTTTATCTTAATAACCAAACTTCTGATGTCTGCAGGTTGAGAATCATGGAATTGACAAGACGTTGATGGAGAAGGTGAAACAGTTGGTGAATTCATACTATGATGAAAATTTGAAGCAAAGGTTCTATGAATCTGAGATTGCTAAGAGCTTGAAGAACAAAGACAATACCTCTGAAATAGACTGGGAAAGCACATTTTTCATCTGCCACCGCCCAACATCTAACATCAACGAGATTCCAAAGCTCTCAGAGGATCTTCGGTGAGTCAATAGAACGCTGAAATTAAAAGCTATGATTAGTATAATGTATAACCTGAAAAATAACTGTTAAGATGGTTACATGCAGCAAGACAATGGATGAATACATTGCTGAACTGATTAAACTCGCAGAAAAGCTTTCTGAGCTCATGTGTGAGAATCTTGGTTTGGAGAAAACGTCCTTAAAGGATGCATTCTCAGGCAGTAAAGGTCCTTCTGTGGGAACAAAGGTCGCAAAATACCCAGAGTGTCCTCATCCAGAAGTTGTAAGAGGACTCCGTGAACACACTGATGCGGGTGGAGTCATACTCTTACTCCAAGATGACCAGGTCCCGGGTCTTGAATTCCTCAAAGATGAAGAATGGGTACAGATTCCACCTTCAAAGAACAACACCATCTTTGTGAACATAGGTGACCAAGTGGAAGTACTAAGTAATGGAAGGTACAAGAGTGTTTTGCACCGTGTCATGCCAAACAAGTATGGAAGCAGACTCTCTATTGCTACCTTCTATAATCCTGCTGGTGATGCCCTTATTTCTCCGGCATCCAGACTCTTATACCCAACTCAATATCGATTCCAAGATTACCTAAAGTTTTATTCCACCACAAAGTTTTCAGCAAAGGGCCCAAGATTGGAGGCCATGAAAACAATGGCTAATGGACAAATTGCCTAAGAGTAGTAACCTATCACTTAAGTTACACATATAGTTTATTCAAGTTTGTTTGTCAACCCCATGTTCAAAAAAAAAAAGTTTGTTTGTCAACCCATCTTGTTGTGTTTCCTGCATTCAACATTTGTACTTTTACTTTTCCAGAAAGCAAGTAACTATATAATATAATATTTCTATAATTCTAAGAGGGGGTTGAATAATATGTTTTGACTTTATTTGTTTTCTTAGTTAAAGCATTCTTAAATACTGTACATATGCACCTCTCACCTCACTTGTATCAATAGAATAATTGACTTAGACATTGTTAGTTAGGTAGTTAGTTACTGGTCCAAATCTATCTGAAATCTGCATACACAAGCAACCAAGAGGACCCAGTAGCCTTTACAGCTTTACCCACAATGAAGGAACATCAACGATTTCTATGCAACATGCCTCTAAACCAAATCCTAAAAGCACTCTTTAACCATAGCTTTTGAATGCACAACGTGTACTTTAGGCAGTTTACATGTTCTCAGAGAT